TGCTACTTCGACTGGTGGGTCATGTTATAGTTTGATAGGTGTTCTTCTCAAAATTGATCTGGATGTGTCCCAGTAGCAAAATAAGCGAAACAAAGACATATCCTAGCTGCAAAGAGAAACAATAGGACTGGGGGGTCATGTTGTAGTTTGATGGATGTTCTTCTCAAAATTGATCAAAATGTGTCCTTGTAGCAAAATTAGCAAAACAAAGACATGTCATAGCACCAACAAAGAAAAGCAGCATGACTACTAAGTTAAAAAAAAAAAAAACAAAAAAAAAAACTAAAAGAGCAACAAGTGTACTTACGATTTGATGTCCCTACAAAAAATATATAATTTTTAAAAGGGAGGAGGAGTTCTTGATGTACTTGTCTTCGTGAGTCATTGTCTGCAAATAAGAAAGAATAGTGGAATTAATTCCACGCTCTTGGCAACAAAAAGAGTTTCATTAAGTGGTTCAAAAAGGGACTTAAAGCCTACCACTTTAGTTGCACACTTGAAGTGTCACATGCATAGCAATTGGTGGAAATATTCGTCAATATTGCCTTGACAATATCTCTAAGCCGGGATACCTTGCGGTGGTGCCTATTCAAAGATTGGACAATAGAAAAAAAAATCTTGAGATGATAATAATAGAGGATTCCCATGAAGGAGCATATTAAAAAAAAAAAAAAAAAAAAAGCAAAGGAGACGATGCACTTCACCCACGAGCAGCGCTTCAAGACACATTCAAAGATGGATACAAGTAACCGTTGTACAATTAGGCCAAATAGTTACTTCAAGGTACACCTCCAATATGTAACAAGCACATATCTACGGCACACTGTGAAGTAAATGTAGACAAAGAAATTTTGGTGAATTGAAATTTGCTAAGTAAGGAAATAATTAAGGCTTAGTGGATTAAGTTATGGGTCCCACAATTTGTCCAAATGGCATATGAGTCATCAAAATTGAATTAGTTGTCAAATGTGACACGTGTCAACATCCGGCGAAGTGCATCAAACAGTTTAAATTGAAGACAAAGTTAAAGGGAAGAATTTTCTGTGATTGACTTTGATTTAAATAAAATATTAATCAAGTCAAGCAATTAAAGATAATTTGGTTAAATTGCCAAATTATCGGAATTGATTTTAAATCAAATCAAAATCCCACAAATCAAGGTCCTAAAGAGTGAAAGCCATTGAAATCAAGAACCATGCAGGAGCCTATAAATAGGAGGCTTCAAGACAAAGGAAGGGACCCTTAGATACACCAAGCACTCAGAAGAACCAGAAAGCTCTCTGCATTCTTCACCTCACTTGGAAGAGCCACCAAGCACAACAAATACTTGCCGATTCCTCCATCCCAGAAAAGTCCAACCACAAAACAAGCCTCCTGCTACCCGTTTGATGAAGATCAAGCCTCTACTACCCTTGTATCAAATCTTTAAACACTTTGGAGACGAATGGGAGGATTTCATATAGAGAATGTAACCCTAAATTTCATTAATACAAATATTATTTTGTAAACGTGTTCTTGTCTCATTTGTCGTGGGATTTTCGTGTTTATACCAGTAAACGAATTGAAGTCATTATAAGACCCCGATTTTCCTCATAATTACCTTGACTCTTATCTCTACATGGATTATCCTAGCCTTGCACAACTAGCACGCTCATTATGATTTTTTGAGTTTTCTTTGAGCATAGATGGGTCTACTCATCCAACTTATTCTTGAAACTCTTCCCTAGATTATTATTCACATTTCTCTTCAACTACTTGAGCTTGGGGTTAGGTAAATCTCTTGAAGCTTTAGAGCTCACCAAAGCTCGCTTCCTTTTTGGTCAAAAAAAGCCTTAAGCTCAGCCATCAATTATCTTAAATTTTGCTCTTCAACTAAGGGTCATATTGATCTTTCTCTAAGAAATGCAATTGTAGATTTCAAATTTGGCCATATATTTTGTCATTTTTAATTCAGTAAACTCGTCAAACTCACTTAAATGAAAGTGAATGTGCATGCTATGCATTAGAGCAAAAATTATACATCGATCTCTCCAAAGACTAGTGACTTTAAGAAAGATCTTTCCATCCTTATCACTCAAGATTAAGAGACGTAAAGTGGGGTCAGTAGTAACATAAGCAATCTATTTTATTCTTCGCTACAATAGATGGCTAAAGATTTAGAGACATGGACGTTGATTTTTTTTTTTTTTTTTGGGGCAAAGGGAAAAAAAAAAAAGAGCCCATCAAAAAAAAAAAAAAAAAAA